CAAACATCACGTTTTAACATATTTAATCTTAGAATGATTACCAAGGGTTTTTCCGTCGTCTATGAAAAACAAGATTTACACAAAAAATCTGACAGTGTAAAAAGCTTCTCAGATACTGACATCTTTGTTTTAGTTTCAATATATTTATCTGTTTTAGTTTCAATATATTTATTTATATATAGATACTAATTTACACAGAAATCCTTCCCTAAGAGAGACGGAGAGAATAAAAAGGAGTTTTTTTTTTTTTTTTTAAAGTTGTAATGATACTTGCCTAACTTAAGTATTCTCACAAACAGAGGGTCCCTCTAAGAAAAAGGTCCCTCATGGAAAAGATCCGTTCTGAAATTAGTGGTTTTAGAAGTTTGTCCTCTTGAGACAGTTCCTGGATGCCCGAGATGTGTCTAGAACTGTGTGAAATTCAAGAATGCAGGCAGGACCCTCATCCTGGCGCTGTTGGAGCAATCTTCATAAAGTTTGCTTGACTGACTTTGTTTTATAATGTGCATCAAACTACACCACGGAAACCCCAAACCGTATCGAGATTTCCATAAAGATTTTTAAACACGCTATCTGCCTTTCCTCTTGCCTTTCTCTTTTTCCCTCTTACTCTGTCTCTAACCGAAGCAGGGGGAAACAAAAAAAAAAAAGAAAAAGAAAAAAAAAATCTGGAAAATGGGCCGGAAAACTAATAGAATAAAAATCAAATGATTTGGAGCCGATGTTCTTATTTACAGAGGGTTCCTGGGGCCGCTATCGGGTGGAGCGAGGGGATCTCAAGGTGAAGGGCGGAGCCATGCGGGGACCGAGTCTTGCTCCCTCCCTGCAGGCGCCCACCCAGGAGAGCGGCGCACCGGGAAGTTTTGATATCCCCGGAGCTCGCTCCGCTAGGGCAGTACTCTTGACTTTTTAAACCAAATTTGAACACAATCCGGGCTCCTGCAGGGGTGCCGGAGCTTGGGTGGGCGCGGGGCCCGGGAGCGCGCTGCGTGCGGCCATCATTAGCGCCCCCGGACGTCGGGCGGCGTCGTGGGCATCTCCGAGAGGCGCTGTGTTGCTGGCGTCTGAGCGCGCTGGCTCCCTGGGCTCTGCCGCGGGTCTGGGACTGCAGGCCCTGCCCAGGACTGAGGGACGCGGTAGCTTCAGGCAATCTTCAGGACCCGCCCCCTCTGTCTGGGCTCCAGTCCCTGCGCACCTGCTGTATACCGCTCGGGGGACCTCAGAGGGTGGGGAGCACACCCAGCCCCACGCAGCTGCAGCCACCAGGCTCGGGCAGTGATGCCCAGGGCCACTGGGCCCCGCAGAACCCATGCATAAAGGACTGGAATGCGGTGTTCCTGTCTGGGGCCCGCGGGGGACGGGGGGCGGTGGTGGGGGATGACGGAGGGGCATGGAGGGAGGGTTGTTCTTAGAAATTGGGAGAGGCGACAAACTCAGCATCCTCTCTGCCTTCATCTCCTTCATTCCAGGCTTCAAGACCATTGCACCAAAAGCTCTGGCCAGCTTTGAAGATTGCAACTGAGCTTCCAGTGCTGCTCCCCGGACGGACCTTCTCCCCATCCCTGTCTGTGTCTACACTTAAACAGGGGCAGAGGTGACTTATTGGGTCCCAGACCTCAGCTTCCTCCACTTGTTGGCCTGAGGACAGTGCCTTCTGAGGCTCTTTCATGGCCCTGGATGACCAGGCATGGGAGGAAAAGGTGTCAGAAATGATGGAAAGGACTCTGAGATTGGACAGGAGTCAGGTGGCAAGGGTGCAGACCCTGGTGCTAAGGACCTCACTGTTGTTTCTAGGACTCTGTGGAGAGCTCACAACCTGTCAGTGGCTTGTCAGTCACACTGCAAACATCCTTCTTGGTGGAAGGTTTTGGGGGGACTCAGAATGACCCGGAGCTGACCCCTGGTGACTAGAGGTCATAAGCCAAGGTTTGCCTGTTAGTCCGGGCCATACTTTCCCAGCCTCTGCATGCAGGTCCCTTCCTCTCCTGTGCTCTCTGGGCCTAGTTTGGGGTTGCCTATTGTCCTGGGATCCTCTGCCCGCTTTCCTTCTGCAGAATCCCTCCAACAAAGTCAGAAACCCACTTCTACAGGCCTCAAGAAGTGGTTGAGGTCATGCAGAGAACCAGGACAACTATTGGTTGCAAAAAGGGACTCTGAACTCCTGACCTAATTTTTCAGGCCAGTGTTCCCTTTACAACTATCCTGGTTGGGGATTCTGGAAGGAGAGTGATTTTCACTCCTTCCCACCCAGTTCTATAAGGTTTCATCACTTCTCCTGTTCCCTAATGGAAAGCACCAACCACAAGGAAAAAATGGCTCTTTGGAATCTTCGCTTGGAAACGGTCAAGGCTGGTAACCAGAATATTTAGAATAGAGAAATTCAGAATGCGAATCACCGGTTTGCAGCTCACACCAAGGCCTGGGTTGGGGGGGTGAGGGGCAGGTCGAGGAGTGCAGGGGAAAATACAGAAAACTATTTCCTCTCCTTCCACTCTTTTTCCCAAAGCTCAGCAGACACGACTCCTTCATCCTCCTTTCTTGCATTAATGCTCCTTCTAATTGTAATTGAAGATCTATCTAAGGTGCATCTCTGTAGAAGGGAGGAATGTGATTTTGCAATCCATAGTTCTAATTGTTGGGAAAACTGTTATTTAATAAAAATGAAGGAAAAGAAAATTAACTGCGTTGAACAAGAGAAGAGGTGCTCAGTAAATGCTATGATTTCTGTAAGGAACTGTGCATTCCAGTCATAGTCGTGGAAAATGTGTTTTGTGAGTTTCTTAAAACTGTACGACTCTGATGAAAATTCATATAAAGATCTTATTTCTGTGTGTTGTTGGTTTGCTCTTCCCCTCTCAGCCTTTTTCGTTTGGGCATACTTATGGAAAACACACAGAGGGCCTTCAAATTTAAACAATACAATGCTGTCATGATGTCACAGAACTATTGCAGTGACCGTTTAAATATTGGCACAATATGTCTGGCTGGTCCAAAATGTCACCATCATCAAAGCACAGACTGATATATTTATAAATACTCCAATGTTAAGACATTAACAATTTCCTCAAATCTCTCCATTGGGGTTTGGTCCCCAAGATTGTTTTCAGAAAGGAAACATGTGAACGTATTTTAAAGAAATGGACAGCCGAGCCTAGTTTACTTCTGCCATACATGCATGCACACTAGGTCTGACTTTAGCCACGGAGCAAGTGAAATTCACACTGGTAAGAGGGATTATTCCTGGGCCTCCTGCTTTTAAAGTTCTCCTTTCTCTTGTTTCCCTCATTTCTCACCTCCTACAAATGGTGCAGGGAACAGGGAGCCCGAGATTTTATTTGCTACGCCTTCATGCAAAGCAATTTGATTTGTTTGTTTAGTTTTGTTTTGTTCCTCTCCAAAGGGTAAAGATGCTCCAAATTTGTGGCAGGACTGTGTTTCTTTATGCCCCAACAATCATGAGACAGCCTGGGAGACTGAAATTCTCTCACCCTGTCCCCTACCCCCGCTAGGGGAAAAAATGCTAGACAGAGCTGGGTTTGTTCAGGAGCTGGGGCGGAGCAACGCCTGGAGAGAATTCCCCTTTTCTGGGGCTGTTTGATGTCTGAATTTTGAAGATTTGTATCAAAAGCGAGAAAAGCAATGTTATGGGATGGCAGGTTAAGGCTCTTGCTCTGCTTTTAAGCCAATGCTTCAAAACAAACAAATCCTGATTGAGGTGGCTGGACCTGGACCACCTCCTTTATAACTACTGTATGGCCTGCCTGAACTTCGGATATCTTCTTTTAGATTTAGGGTGGGCTAAGAGTGAAATCAACTTCCAAGTTTCTCTTGGAAAGAGAAAGGCACAGGCCCTAAATTATTCATGCAGCATCCTGACAAATAATCAGAGGAGATAAAAATTGGAGCCTATCACTGCAGATAAAACTTCTCTAAAAAAAAACCAAAACAAAAGAACTAAGACATTTCTTCAAAGAGAAGGACAAAATTATTTTTGAAAAATCAAATGACAGAGAATCGTAGTGGGGAACCTTGCAAATCAGCAATGTGAAGCTGGTAAATCTCACTTCCTATCCCCTCTTAGTGAATGTTTATATTAGCAGCACTAAGAAGAGCTTGGTTGTGTGTTTTACTGGCATGGAAATCAGACGGCTAAAGGTTGTCACTTATGTACTCATGTATTTTAGTCTTCCAACCTATCTCAGTCTTTACCGGCAGGCAAAACAGAAAAAAACAAAAAGAGAGAGAGAGAGAGAGAGATACAGAGAGCGAGAGAGAGAGACTCATGTGGCAATCAGACTTTTAAATATATTGATTGGCTTAGTAGACTGGAGGAGTGTATTTCTTAAAGCCAAGAGTATGTGAATACGGAAGTAAGTTGGCCTAAACAAAAACAACGGCCACAACAGCAAAAGACTCCCAACGTACTCTGCTTGGGAACCTTTGAATGTGTCATAGGCAACTCTAGATATTTAGACCGGGACATGCTGGGAATGCAGCTACCGAGACAGCTGTGTGCCATGTTTGTGAGGGTGACCACGATTTGCCTTCTGTCCACTGCTTTTAGCAAGAAAACTGGTAGTGTGGCAAGGGGGAGGTTCTACTTCAGAACAGAAGTATCTAGAATTGGTGTTGCTAAGTAAAAGTGACTGGGGTAAAGGCACAAGGGAGAAAAGATCAGAGCATGAGCATCCTGCATTCAGTAATAAACACCGTTTCCCATCAGAGGGGTCTGTGTTGAAAGGCGCCCAGGTAGTATGGCTTTGAGACAGTGAGGAAATGATGTCTCCATAGCAGATTTATCTGCTAGGCAAAAGTAGAACCTCTGCCTATTCGATGTCAATATATTAATGTGTCAGATACATTGTAAAAAAATATTACATGGTTTTTGAAAAGGGAAATGTGCAAGAAGCCAGGGAAATTTAAAGGAGGTGATTTTTTTTCTTTTGAGAGTTTGTAAGCAAAAAAGAAAAGGGAGCAAAAAATCACACAGAGGGTGTGTATTTAACTAACTTTGTATTTTGCCACACATTGTTTTCATTTACAGCTATGTCTGACAAATGGGCAGGTTTGACATCACTGATAAGCGCAATACTGTCTAGGGCCTACGAGAAAACCAGGGGGCTCGGCTCCACTGGAGCCTCTGCCCATGCATTTGTTTAGGGAAGGGGAGTTGAATATCAATTTTTCTTCTTAGTAAAATTATCTGCCAGAGAAACAATGAAGCATGAAAAAGTACTATTTAGAATGTGCATGCCTATATATGCTTTTAAAATGCTAACTGTTGCATTCTGGGAAACTTTCCATTATATATATGCATATATATATATCTTTGTAATTTCAGTGAATTTTTAAAACTAGTATGGCAGGTTGAAACCATCGCACCTGTTCACTTGCACACACCATAAATCGAAAAGCAGGAGTGCGCTTTTCTATGGGTCTCTATGAAACCCCCAGACAAGTGGCATAGTTAATTACTATGGAAGTTATACATTTAATAGCCTTCTTCTCTAACACAGTAATTTTTATTTAAAAAGGAGACTAAACAGAAGTCAGGGGTAGGTGGTTCTCCATGACTGCAAATAATATGATTTTTTTTTTTTAATGTACAGCTCTCACACAAATTTCATTTTGTGAACACACTGGTAAGTACACGATGCTGGGGCTTCCAAAATGTGGCGTATCCCACTGATGGCTCCAACTTGCGAGTGGGCTCAGTTCTGTAATTGGAATGAAAGGAATTTTAACACTATTTAGACAAAGACTCAAACGCAGCATAAAGGGGAAAGCTAGATTTCCTCATATGATTTTTTTTTTCTAATTTAGAGACTTATTTGTAATGAACAGCACTTATTCAGGATTTAGGAGTTCTTTGTAAAAACAAAAAAACAAAAAAACAAAAAAACATGTATTTGTGTGCCACTCCCACTATATACTTCAAAGTTTTCAGTAACTGTTATTTCCAAAAATACCTTTTACTAGGAGTTAACCCTCTCTTACAGCCAGCCGCTCAAACCTCATTTTTGCCAGCACCTCTGCACTTGATTTTCTAAAGTTTATTATATTCAACCGCCTTGTAGATTCCTACCAAAATGTTTAATTCTACACAACTGTATTTTTCTCCCAATCCAGGCCTCATTCGTCATGAGGTAACTGCAATAACTACATCCAGAATATCACTCTTATTTTGAGAATGTGTTTGCCTAAAATCTTTCATCAGATGCCGAGATTTTTGTAAAAGCGTTCTCTCCATTTCTGCTTCTTCAGAGTTTGTGTATCTCTTAGTTGTGATCAGGGAAAAAAAATAAATAAATAAAGGAAAGAAATATCTGGAGTCAAGAACACTGACTTCAAGCTCGTGAGGGAAGGCTTACTATTAAGACTTTTGATAAGCAAAATTAAGTGTGGATTCAGGAGCCTATCTAAACTAGCACATAAAGGAAGGTCAAAATGTCGAGGTTATACACTGTCTTCATGTTCTGTGAAAAATAGGCAGGAAGGCCAGATGATAAACTGGCCAGAATTTAGCAGCACCAAACACAACCTGTTTTCTTCAAAATAAGTCTTTCAGTCAGACTTGCAATATTATCTTTTTTTAAGAACTGCAAAAAACAAAACAAAAGCCATCGTGTTTGGGTCTATTTTCAAAACAGTGCTGGCTTTGTCTAACATTCTATTAGTGTGCTAGGGGAAGTTGACTAAGAGTGCAAACTGCATGAATTTGTAACATTAGTTTCATGAATTTGTGTCATTTAAAAATAGGTCAGTGCTTAGGAGTCCTGCTAGTGAAGGTAGTTTTGAGTCTTTCCAAGTGATCTTTAAGTCAGTCCCCATACACAGCGTATTTTGGGGTAAATACCAATAAATGAAAACACAGCCTATATTCCACACAGGTATTATTTTCTGCTTTTATTTCTGGGGATAGCATGATCTGAAATCATTACTAGCTCATCTAAGTAGAGAAGTTCTCCACTGAATATTCATGGTGAAATATGATTTGATAACACAGTTTAAACCAGATACGTACTTGGAACTATGGAAGTAAGGAGTAGATTTTCTTTTTCCTATTTAAGACAAATGACCTTCAATGTTAAAGAGAAAAGCAAAACAAAACAAACAACTTTGATTTGTCTAAAGTGTTTATGTTAAATCTTGTCAGGCCTTGCTAACAAGAAAATCACGGTGTGTAAGAGAAGAAGGAAAAATAATCAATTTTAGTGAAAAGGCAAGCGCTGTTTCTCTTTACCATTAAATGCCTATGTGCCCAAGCCACCTCTGAGGCGCCATATTTGTCCGGTTCCTCTGTCTTTGGATGGGCTTGCCCCTGATCAGAAGCGCAGGGCCATGTTCAGGAAGCCTAGTTCCACTGTTTTGTTTTGTTTTGTTTTCCCACCAAGGGCAATTACGGCTCAACTCATTTGAAAACTGAAAACTTTGGGGAGAAAAAAATGAGGTCATAATTTACATCTCTATTAAATATTGCTAATCAATATATGGGGCCAGCCTCCTCACCTCAAAAAACAGCCTATAATTTCACCCTGAATTACTGCCTCCCTATTCCTCCATGAATCCTTCCACTGGAGAAAAGGATGCATTTTACACTTTTAACGAGGTTGTTGGGCCCAGTTAAACTGTACACTAAGAAACTGAGTACAGAATCAAAAAAAATGCCGTTTATTATTGTAGATTATTCTTTTTCTTGATATAACCAGAATTGAAAATGAAAGAAAAGCACATAGGAACATCACGCGTGGTTAGTTAGTAACTCAAGATATAAAACAATTTTGCACAGCAAAATATGTAAAAGAAAAGTAACTGACAAGATTTTTTTATATTTATTGTGGTAAGATTTACTTTTCATTTCTTTTTAAAGACAGGATGTCAGTCCCTGAAAATAACATTTACTGATTATTGCCTTTAAAACTGTGGATTTTTTTTTAAGTTACAGAAAATCCAGTTCTGCACCACAATACAACTGTAAAAAAATCTGCATCATCTTAAAACTGTGCAGTAATGCCATTTTTATAACTGCATAAATTTTATTAGCGTTCTAAACAGTTTTGCAATTTTTTTTGTATTATATGCTTGCAGGTTATATCTTAGTGCAATTCAGTCCCAAATACTTTAATTTTGAAAAAAAAAAACATACATTTTTGAATGTAAAATACCCCTACAGATATAAACAGGGGCGTTTCCCCTTTTAATACTTTGGTTTTCAATACAGTCAGTGGTATAGCAAAAACTACACATACCCAACTTATATTTAAGTTGCAAGCACATGCTGTATAAGCTACTTTTTTTAAACAGTCCCCTTGCAAACTCTACCCCCCTTAACATCACAACAGTAAACAATTTAGTGCATCAATCTTTTAAAAAATCTACAGCTAAACAGACCTAACTCTTTCAAATTTATCTATAACATTCCTTTATCTGTAGCATACATTTTAACTGGGCTAACAGATTATAAAAACTAGAATTAAATTATATACTAGAAACCCATAGCATTCCACATTTGACAATGACCAAAAGCCAAAAAATATAAAATAAAAATAAAACCAACCAAAAATAATGGGGCAGATTTCTCTTTTTAAAAAATAAACTTTAGACTGCTTTTCGGCAATAGCACAATTTTAGTCCCCAAAGTGGGGTGTCATTCTTATTAAAAAGAAAACATTAAGAGTTCTTCAATGTTTGCCAGGTTAAATTTGTAACCCATTCTGGTATCTTTCACAAGGAATGCCTTCAGTGCATTGGGAGGTTGAAGTTCTGAGTAACTCAAAGCAGTTTTGGAGCAGATGCAAAATTTCATGGGAAGAAGGCTCTACGGTTGCACTTTTTTGTTCTGAACTCAAAAAAGTCATGAGGCAATAAAACAAAAGTATGAATGCCATGCTATAAGTCTTCGAACGTCCATTTCCAAGCCAAAAAGAAAAAAAAAGGAAAAAATAATTATACCATACATGTCCAGCATGCAGGCTTTTTTTTTTTATTAATATAATGTCTCTTTTCCATAAAGTCTTTGAAACAGTTATAGTTCATTGTTGCTAAGACAAAGTAGCAAGCATAATAATGCATGAGATGAGAATGAGTTTTTTTAATGGCAGACTAAACTCTCAGATTTGGCATCACAAGGCCAAAACTCACAAGTCACACCCAGAAGGTTGATGCAGGCTTGATTGTGGAAGGTTCATGAGGATTTTTTTCTCTATTTTAGCATAACAATGCTAAAAAAAAACCCGATGGAACTCGGCACGCTGCAAGTCTATAACATTTCACATTTTTTTTTCCTTTGCAAGCTCAATCTCACATGAAGAACTCAGGAGAAGAAAAAAAAAACTTTGCTTTTTTTTTCTTTCATCTCGGAAGAGATGGGTTTTGAGGAGGGAGTCGAGGGTGGAGGTTGAAAAAAGGTGGGCAACAGCAACGCTCCAAAAGTAAAATTAAAAAAAAACCAAACAAAATAAAACACACACACAACACAGCAAAGATTGAACACAGTTCATGAACTAGGGGAAGGAGAAGAAAAAAATATGTGAATGATGCAGGCTCTCAAAGGTGAGCAACGTTTCACATGAAAGGAACGTTTTGCTGAGATCTTTGCGAACATATGTGCAAAGTCCGGGGGTGGGGGGGGGGGGTGTAAAAAAACAAAGCCAAGCTAGCAAAGTTATCGGAGAATTCAGATTGGCAATTCAGTGAGCCAGACACCCACTTCTCCCAGTTTAAACAGCCACGCACCGACCGACAAACTCAAAGCAGGGTGTGGGGTGTTGTGTGTGGTGGTGTGTGGTGTGCATGCGTGTTGTGTGTCCCTGTAAGGAGCAAGGGGGCCAACTCGGACTGGGGTGGGGGGCGAGTGGTGGTGAGCATGGCTGCTGGAACTAGCAACCCACCACCCGAGTGCGGACCCGCGGAGCACTTATCAGGGTTAGGGCTAGCTGGGATCGAAGCAGTGTCAAGACTCCATGAAAAGAACCCCTCGGGAGAGACGGGTTGTCGCTGCTCGAGGCCGTCTTTCTCGGAAGCCGCTGCTCCACGTCAACTTCTTCGTATTTCTCCTTGTACGACGTGCCCTCTCCGCCCCAGCTGGAGATCCGTCCTGCCTTGAGATGTCGAGGGGGGCGCGTTGGCTGGCAGCAGCCTGGTTCGTTCTCGCGACCTACCAGGCACGTGTCTCCTGCTCGCACCGCTCAAGTTCGAAGCGGCAGGACTGGGCATCGTAAGCCGGCGGTTTTTCAGGGTCGGCGCCCTCTTTCTACTGGCTTCAGGACCGGTCCACCTCCTACTTCGCTGCGAGCGCGGCAGCTGGGCGTTCAGCTCGCGCACCCGACATGGGGTCACCCAGGCTGGCTCGTAAGGAGAAGCGGTCGTATCGCACTGCAGGCCGCGGCGGCGTGGTGCGGGTGCCAGGGCGCCCGCCCCATCCC